GTAAAAGAGGAAGAGGGGCAGGTAACGCTCTCGCTTTGAGTTTATTCTCTGTTGCATGCGTGCTGTGGGTAAGCGTCCAGAGCGTCACCAGCTCAGGAGGTGTCACAGCGACACGGTTCAAGCATGGCTCCCCAAACGACAAGACAGACATATCTGTTCATAACTGTATTATTAGTCAGCCTGAGAGTTGACAGATTTTAGCAAACAGTTGCCGAACGCACCCTGACACAACGAGAATGGTGCAAATTTTTTTTAAAAATAAAAAAAAAAAAACCTACTCCCTGCCGCAAAATGTTCCCCGGGTCACATGTGCCCCCCTGGCATTACTCCAGACCTCCCCAGGGGGCGCGCCCCACCATTTGAGAAGGACTGGAGTAAGCTGTTGGGGGAAGAATCGGTTATGTTTTGTGTTTCCTTGACTGATGAACCCTTCTAGATTGAAGGTGAAACGTTTCAGCACAAAAAAAAGCAACCGTCCAGATGACCTGACTGAAACTGATCTACCCGTTTACACGAGAACAACCTCTGGAAACATTAGTGTTTTTAATGTTTATTTGTAATAAACAAAAAATGAAAGGGTTTACCCGAAAACGCTGTAGTTTCCATGTTAGTCAGGTTGCCAGATAAAAAATTATGAACTATAGTACTGTGGTTTTAAAATGGTAGCATTTGACCTAAACTGTCATTTATGCTGAGTAAAGATATTCTAAGATGAGGTGTGTGTTGTGTTTGTTGAACATGTGCACAGAAAAGGAGGGGGTAAATAAGACATTTTGAATTTATCTGGCAACCCTCATTGCGCATAAAGCATTTGCATGGCCACAGATACTCCAAACTGGTGAACACACCAATGTCTCTTTGGAGCCTGGAGTTTATTAGTTTTGCTCCTACATGCTGAAAAAGGGTGAGCAGCACAAAAACACTCTGATCTTTGCCATTTATTATAACTGTTGTTATATTTATTATAACTGTTGTTAGTTATTATCTTATATTTATTATAACTGTTGTTATATTATAACTGTTGTTAGAGAAGAAAAACTTTGGACTGCAGCCGCCTGGAGAGCGCATGTGCGACTTTACACTTGCAGAACATTTCACACCTCCGTGGGGGGGTTCCCTGAAAATGCTTCGGTATACTTCCGTGTCCTGTCAGCCGTGCGGAAACTGTGCACACTGTGCGCGGAGGGTTGAGACTTAATGCTCGAGCGTCGGCTGCAGAGCAGCTCCGCAGACAAGGGGCGTTTACCTTCGGGACTAATTGAGTTCGCTGATTGGTCATTTGCTAACACGACTAATGGATTGATCGACAGGTCAAAAAAACAAACAAAAAAAAAAACAAGAGCTGGCAGCCCCAGCCACAGTGTTCTGTGTTTATATGTTGTTAATAAAAAGTTATAAAAAAATAAAATAAAAAAAAAAAACGGAGCGCTGGCCGTACAGCCCACACATCAGATCAGCCAACCAGGAAATCTCCAGACCCTCCCGCAGCCAGGCTGGGACTGATTTTAATTAGCTCGTGACAAATTCCTTCATTTCTCAGCATTTCAGTCATGGCATCAACGGAGGAGGAAGAGAACGGTTTCCTTTTAGGAAAAAAAAAAAAAAAAAAAAAAAATGGTCAAATCAGGGACGAAGAAGAGGAATTTAATACATTGGTGTTGCATACAAAATGGGCAGTTTATTGTCAGACGCGGTTGTAAAAATTGAGCTTTGCGCGAACATGGCCTGTGGACGTGCGGAGGTAGACAGACGTACGCGGGAGTATACTGGGGACCAAAATCTCCACTCTCTGGATTCAGAGAGATAGGGTATTTTCACACCTGATAGTCCGGTAGACTCGGTTCAGTTGGGGACTAATATTCAGAACATTTGTTTTCATTTTCAGCTGGTGAGGTTCACATTCACACTGCAGTGAGTCAGTCGAGCCAGCCTGTTCTCCCCCTCGCCTGTGGTGGCGCTGCGCCAAGAACTACTGAAGGAAACGACACAAAAACCTCTGAAGAAGACACTTCTTCTTCTTCTGGAAATAAAAACGGAGTGGTGTCAAGTTTTAGTGGTTTTAGGAATTTTGTTTCGTCATTTTGGACAATGGACTCAGCATGAGCAGAAGAGGCAGGAGACCATGGAGAATGTTGTTTTTCACACAAGGCAGCTAAGACGGCTCCATATGAGGTAAGAGAAATGCGCATTTATTTGCCCTGTGCTGTACTCCACTTCCTGCTTTTGGAGCGGTGTCCGGCCCGCTTGCATTCACAATGTATTCGAACCATGCCAGAGTTCACTTCAACCGAACCGAGACCTAGGTGTTTAGGCGGACCAGAGTTCGATTGTGCATTCACACGTCCCCAAACAAACCGAACTTTCTAGGCGAACCGACTAGGGTTCGATTAAAGTGGACTAAACAGGGCTGGTATGAATGCACCCAAAGATGACTGTTATGTAAATGAACGGCTGCACAGCAGAAAGGCTGTGGTTTCACGTCGTGTACACGGGGCCTCAGACTGGCTGCTCTGCATGTCAGTCAAGAGACAAATTTCATAGAAAGATGATAGGCTGATGTCTATTTTTTACCCATAATACCTTTGCAATCCAATAGTAGATCACAATCAACGTACTGGGCAGCCCTGGCTTAATGTATAAATGAAAAAAAAAAAGCATTAAGATAGTTTCAAAGACAACAAAAAATAATCACCTGACTGATGACAATGTTCTTGACAGTATGACCCAGCTTCCAGTGGCCAAGCTCATGACCCAAAACAGCAAGGATCTCTGGGTTGTTGCATCCTTGTTTCTTGTTCTAAGAAAGTGTGTAGGAGGATCAGTGCAGCTCCGTTATTCTCCCGCACAAAAGCATAAAGTCACATTACAACAGCTGACGTTCATAGCTGAGGCACAACACTTGAGAGTACACAGTGAAACACCCACACGCTGAATTGGGCCTCGTTACTGGGCAAAGTGTTTTTCCATTGCTACATGTTTGGCAACACTTTTAAACAGTGACAGTGATTTTAATAGTGCTATAAGATTTAATTTTTAACTAGGGCAAACGCTCTGTAACCTTGGGCTTGGCTTTTGACTCGCTGGATGTCTCGTCATTCTCCGGCTGCTCAGACTGCGCTTCTCCAGGTTTGTTGAGAGGCGAATAGTCTTCCAGCAAAGTGTCGAACAGCACGATGCGTTTGTTCTTGAAGAAGCCATAAAAGTATGCGTTGCTGTGTGACGATCGCTTGGAACCTGGAAATAAATCATAATAAAAACGAGAAAAAAACATCCAAAATACTTCAAGGGTGGAATATTTTTAACCAGCCTGCACAATAAATAATATAATCTCATAATTATGATGACATAACAGGACTCACCTTCAACTACATACACCTTTGTGAGAGGGAAGCTTATACTTTTGGCCATAGCTTCAATCGCAGATTTTAACTCTCCTTCTGGTAATGGAGTGAATTTGTCAAATAGGGGTGCAATGTAATCAGCATAGATGGTCACAAGTACCTTTGAAAACAAACACATACGATGTGTTAAGATTGATTTTAACACCAAACAAATGTTTGAAGTCATCATAAGGGTGTGAAAACAGCTCTAACCAGAGAAACAGCCAGGGTAAACAGCCAAGCATAGATGAAGAAGTAGTCTCCACCGATCTTTATGATGTACAGGAGCAGTGAGGTCACAGGCAACAGGATACACTGAGTCACTAAAAACTTCTTCACAGCGTCTTTGAAGAAGAACCCCAGTGTCTGAGAAGGACAAACATTCATTACATGAATAAAGAAGCTGATGTGTTGAAACTAACTGCAGCTGTGACCTCTGACGTGGCAGACCTGCTGGTTAAAGCCGTGCTTCTCCTCGATCACAAACGTGTTGTACAAGGTCCAGGGAAGTCCAGTTACGGCGCTGAACAGAGTGGCAAGGGTCAGAAACACCAAGGACTGGGTGATCTCGTATTCTGGAGCGAACCCAAATCGAGCCGTCGCAGAACCGGCGACGTCCCACAGAAACGGGATTCCACCCAGCAGCAGGATCAGCTACAAGATGTTATTATTTAGAATAAAAATATGATCTAAAGAATCACACATGCCTACAGAGTTGACTGTATAAAAACACTTACCGTCCCTTCAGTCTCAGAATAAAGTCCAGACCAAAAGCTAAAATTGCTTTTATCTAGTTGATAAAGGCGCGACTTCTCAAAAGTTTCGGGATCCATGATCTTGCCGAGCTCCTGCGGGACGTGTGTGGTCGATCTATATATCCTCCTCTGCAAAGCGGAAAGAGACGAGCAGGTCCTTAAACGCTATTTTAATAAACATTATAAAACGGGGATCTTGCAATTAATAAAGGCTTCATATTTCAGATAGTAAACTTTTATTACCTTAAAACAAAACGGTGTCTGGTAATTATTTGGACTTGCATCTTTTTTTCTGTAAAGATGTTTGTTAAAACCGATTTTAACCTGTTTGATCTGTGAATTACAAGACTTAGCTCTTCTGGCTACGCCAATTTATCTTGCAGTTCTGTATTAGCACCCTCTGAAAATTTCCATCTGCCTTGTATCAAAATTAATCATATGCTCAATAGATCTGAAAAGTTTAACTAAAATTGATATAGATTTCCTTTTGTTCCAGCCCGTTGTGTTAATTCTTATGGCTTGATGAACTGAACACGATTCTGCAACTAATCCTGACATGCTGATTCAGAGTGACTTTGTGAAACTTACCGGTAGTTGTTGTGCAACTCAGATTATTGCATGATTTTCACATTTCAAAAAAAAAAAAAAAGGTGAAAAGCTTATACTTGAAATGCATTTACCACTCAGCTATGTACAAACAGGGTTTAGATTAATTAAACATCAACTGAAACTAAAGCTACTTAAAAATCAAACAGTGCAGATAAATTCATTCAGTCTGTTTCACGTAGCAGACAATTTGTAGAATATTTAGGTTTGCAAGACATGTAACTTTACATGAGTGCATAAAACTTTTAACTTTTTGTCTGAGATACTGGTGTAAAATGTTTATTTTAACCTATTTTGACAAGAAATAAGAGATGCAAGTCATCTATTAGTTAAAATGCAATGTATTTATAATAGGTTTTAATATTTCAGTTTTATTTATAACTACACTGATAAGTATTTTTGTTTGCACAAACCCAGCCTCGACTATTCTACTGGAAAATAGAACAATTTTAGCATTTTTTAACCAATGTTCAAATTGGAAACACATTTATTACTTTACTTGTGGCAAGTAGTTTTCACCCTTTTTTAACCTGTGGTCATCTATATATATATATATAATATATAATATATATATATTATATATAGACACTCTTGTCTCATTCTGCAAAACAGTAAGAAACTTCCAAGTTCCTGCAAGCATCATAACCATACGAATGATTAACTTACCTGTCTGTAGGACAGGTATGCCTCCCAAAGATACACCGTCCACGAAAATAACAAAACAGCATAAAAGATCTGTTTTTCCACCGGCAGGTCAAACATGACTTCAAACATCTTGACTCTGGGGTTTCTTCACAGCAGCTCTCCGGCTCGGCCGTCCGCAGCAGCCCGAGTTACTCAGGCTAACAGCTAACAGCTAACACAGCTTCTGCTCGTCTCACAAAAAAAATATATCTGTCAAAATAAATGCAGCCACGCCAAATCAACAAAAAATATACTAAACACTAAATCTGTACATCCAGTCTTTATTATAAAGTAAAGGCTTTTACGTCCAATATCATTCCATTCATATGAGCAACGAACAAGCCTGTCGGAGAAGCGTATCGATAAATACTGCCCCCACTGAAACATCTAAATACGAAATTTTGTTCCGCACGTTCACCCGTAAACTAACCGGCTTAGTTTTGATATTGCAATAATGGTTGTTAGTTTCCACAGTTACACGTTTTCGT